TAAAAATTAAAACTCCGTACAAGGTCAAAGGCAACGTAAGAAACTTCTTTATAGTGTAACTCACTCTAATAGGTATTAAAAAATACGAATTACTTCCAAAGGTATGTTTTCTTAGTAATTTAAAGTCTAGAAAAATAATAATTTACAAATTGTTAACTAAAGCTTGGCTGCGTGGTTCTGGTACAGTGCCTGCTTCCCTAACAGCAATTAAATAATTTAGCTCCTCATTAATATCTGTAAGCAAAAGAGGATCTTCTTCAGCCATATTTTTTGCCATTTTATATAGAACTGCAGTTGCCGAAATAATGTGCATTGCGGTGTCCAGTTTTACTCTCAAGCCATACGCCAAAACGGGAAACCTTCTTTTCCAAACTCCAAAACATCTTTCGATAACGTTTCCATCGGATATGGGATTGTATAGCCTTTCCGCTCTTGTTGCAGGATTAACTGAAGGGGCTAACAAATAGGATCTAAGACCATAGCCACTGTCACCCGGAATAAAAAAAAATCAAGAAAATATACTAAACGGTCCCTAATCGAGCCCTAATCAGCCAAAAAGTGCCGGTTAATATAATCGTTGTTCAGAGTACACAAAACAGTGGTTAAGCGACGGTACAACACATTTTTCAAACTAAACGACGATTAAATTTTTAATCACTGTTTAGTCAAACGGTGCAACCGGGCCTTACAGTTCTTCACCCACCAACGAAAGTGATTCCAGTAAATCACTTAAGCTCGACAACGCTGTTTTTTGCCATAACGCAAACGAGGTCTTGCGTATCGGCGACGTTGCCACTCGCCTGACTCTCTAGGCCAACAGTACGAGTATTCCAATAAAGGAAGCGCATCCGTAGATCACCCGCTTCTTTTTGGCTGCCCTCACTTCGTCATGCACATAGAGTTCGGACCCAATCGGCAAAGCAATGAGGTATTTAAAGGCCTTTTTTTCCATAGAGCCGATCGATTTAAAGGCCGCAAGCGACAGGCCCAGTTGTCGCCACTTGTTACGCGTTTGTCAGAACAAGAACAAACATTGCGCACTCCATATTCCTGCGCAAGTTTTCCGTGTAGCCGTGGCAACGGCGTCTGATTGCGTCGAGCCCCTCTCGCTTTCGCTTGCCGATTAAAAGGAAACGCCACCATTGAGCGGAGCGATCTGGATGAGGCCTCCTAAAGCCACAAGGGAGGGGCTGAGCGCGTTCCCCTCGAAACGTGTGACGGCGCCGAAAACCATCTGTACAAGTTGGCCGCGGAACAGTTGACAAACGCGACGGATTTCGAAATTCTCGTCGCTCGGTTGGGCGTGTGTTTCAACGCGAGTCGTTTGTCGGATGTAGCTAATTTTTGCAAAGCCCACTTGGCGCCCCCGTGATCTGCTAATTCCGAGGCCCGATCGAATCCAGTCCTTGATAGTTTCGTGGTTCATCTGTTTCGCATTTAAATACCCACTCGGCTGGATCTGGCCTGTGCACAGATTTGAGGCCTAACTGCGAAAGGGGTTTGCACCGGACGCCATATTGTGTATTTTATCCGTCAATTTACTGAATCTCGACAAGGGATAAGCAACCTTTCCTGCCCTGGATCACCAAAGTGTCACTTTGAAATTGCTGTCAGTGTCATATGACAACCTTTCGGGCTTCAGCCACTAAATTGCGTTTTCTTAAGAGAGTTCAGAAAGGATTCTGGCGTAAAAATTCCATTCTCAAAACATCAGCATAGTTAGCTGTCATAAATGACAGTTTTTCCAATGTCATCACGTGACAATGGAATAGCTGTCAAGCAATAAACAGCGATTGGTTTGTTTTGTGCAAGACAAGTGAGCAAGTGAAACTATAGTTTCCTCTTGCTTTGCCTCCTCTCTGCGAAAGGGGGAGAGTTTTTCGATTGCGGAGTTTTTAAACCGCCACCACCACGTCGTGCGTCGAGGACTGCGCCATGGGGTGCACTGTATCAGCGGAGGAGAGGGCGGCGATCGCCCGCACCAAGCAAATTGACCAAAAATTGCGATTAGAGGCGAGCAAGAAGCACAAGGACATCAAGCTGCTGCTGCTGGGTAGGTGGCAAAAGTCTTCTTATTCCGGTGGCGTGCCCCTCAATTGGTCAGCGTGGTCGCGTTGCAATTGACGTAATTGTTTTAGACGCCGCCGACCGTTTAAATGGTCACTTTCGGTGGTACGCGCAAGAATGCCAACGATTTCCGGAAACGGACACTTAAAACCCAATTGAAACCACGAAAATGCACACATCTGGCCGCGCTTAATGTGCTTGTTCCTTATCATTCCATTCACGCATTACTAAAAGCGTTTTCGGGTTTACATGCGCACAATTTGCGACCATATGGCGTAATCTTGTTCCGGATATGAACTTGGCTAAGCACGGATTAGTGTTTTACATCTACTGGATTGGAGCTGTCAGACACTGATGTCAAAAATGTCAACTGCGAAGGCTTAGTTTGACGTAATCGCTCCAAAGTTAGACAATCAGACGTTTATGAGCTTATATGATGGCCGACCTACACTCCTGATTCGAGACAATGCGATTCTTTTCGAAAGCGTCATCGCGGCTTTAATCGTCTGAGCGGAAACGGGCGCAAAAGCGGTTTGCGTTTGTTTCACGAAATCAAAATGAGAAAAAAGGTGCTCTAAACGAGACTTTGCCGATAAGCAAACGCAAAACGATACATTAGAGAGTTATTGGACATGCTAAATACTGTCATGCAGTACTAATGTTATTCCTTATTTTAATACTGCATTTGCGTTATTTCTGTAACGAAATGATAGTTATTGGAACGCCTAGTTCACTGCTTTCAGTATTAAAAATGTGTTATTGTGTAACCTAACCTTACACAATTTATTATTAATCATTTTACTTTGGTGTATTTGTATTTTTTACCTTTTCAATTGGATTTAAGTTGCTGTTGATCATTTACGCTTAATTGTTATAATGAAGGAAATTCTAGAAGCGCAGTCATAGGCGGAGCAAGTGAAAATGAACTTGAATATTAACTTTTGGTTTATAAACAGGGATGGTTATGAGGCTGAGGGAAGAGAATATTTTTCTTTAGAACAAATGTCCGATGAGTATAACTATGTCTTGAAGTGCATACTATTCAAGGCTTAGTGGAGATACGATAAACAAACTGAAGTTTTTGACCCTTGTTTGATCCCCCTTGGTCATTACGGCTTGATATTTATAAGGTCCCCAACATCACGACGTATTTGGTATTATTTCTTGTCTCTGCAGAACAGTACTTAATTTTGCAGTACTTATTTTTTAGACTGATTTGCGCAGGCGTTTGTGTCAAAATAGCGCAAACTAAAATACTGCATGAACGTATTGGCCGACCAATAACTCTCTATTAGCCGCATTCGTTTTTACGTTGCTAGATACATTAGCCGTATTTAGCAACGTAACTGCAGTATATTAAGCTGGGTTTAAAAGTCAAAAAAACAACAATGTAATTCGAACACCTCCACTCTTAAACCGTCGTAATTGCCCACTTGACCTGTGGACCGATTAAAATGTCGTTTAATTGATCCCAACCTACGCCAAGGTGTCGCGTTAATCGACGATTCATTAATGATCCGTTAAGCAATTCATGCCAATCTCGTTCAGATCTGATTTGCAACTTTTGCATTCGCTGATTATATTTACACGTTACTGGGATACCAGCCTGGAGGACTGAAACGTCAATTGGGTGACACATTGCATAGGCCTCTGGATGGTCTTCATGCTCGCCATCGTAGCCATATAAAAGCAATTAGCTTGCAACCGACGTCGATAAACACCCGATTAACGATCCTGTAAACTGTAAACGAAACTGGGGCTCGATAATCAAGTGCGGGAGTCTTGCAATTCACATTAATAATATCATTTTTATGTCCGTTTTTTATTAGCAAGACAATGCTATCAATTGTGTCTGAATCATGATTTGATCTCCCGTGCCTTGTCAAACTCTATATTAGCTTGCTATTGACAACTGAACTGGTGCGATATCAACCATTATAAAGGCGCGCTCACTCTGGCTGCGTTATCGATCCGACTCCAACATGTTGCTCCAGGACTTTCGAAGGGCGAAGCACGTTCATTGGCGTAAAAACCTCGCAAACCGTCCAAAATGTCCTGATGTTTGACCAATGCGGTGAATGACTGCCAAAAGTCACACCTGACAAGCAAAGTAGTTAAAGCCATATTCTATATGTCGCCAACTAAATATTTAGTTGGGGCATGTGGGGCACATAGGAACAGCCTACAATGGCGCCGAGGGTTTTCCGACTTTGCAGTGTTGGAGGGAGTAGGGTAATTAGGGTAGCAATAATGTCGCCACCCGGGAATTCAGGGTGGCTGACGTCATTGGCGCAAAGAAGGGCTAATCGCATAATAAGGCGGATAATGTCGGGGCGCGGACAAAAAGCCGCTGTTTTTTGTTTCACTGTTAAAAATAAGCTTCTTTGTTCCAGGTGCCGGCGAATCAGGAAAAAGCACCATAGTGAAACAAATGAAGTAAGTTGTCACACGAAACACTAGTCAGCTGTCAAGTATCCTAGCATAAGGTATGCGGACGGTGTGTCACTGTCAAGACAGCATGCTTCTTCTGGCTTGTTCTTAGCCATTGCTTTCGACCAAAGAGAGTTAGATATAAAGTGTGACTGTTGAGTCTCGAACTCTAGTCTCTAGATATCGAAACCGCATCAAAACGGCCTCAATGGGTCATTTTTAATAACATCAATGTGAAAAATATGTACATGGGTTTTGGTTGCTCGAAAAAGGCAGCTGAAACATTCGAACATCCTGGTTTTATTTTTCGCTCGCCAATGTTTATTAATCGTGGTGCGCTACTGTAAACGGAAACACACTTGATTTACCCGATTCCATTTATTTGGAAAGCCGACTAATCACGTCTCGAGTAAACTGAACTGACATAACATCGATTAAATACATAATTTTTTTCTTGAAAAAAACACGCCGTTCTAAACATTGATGTTATTAAATCAACCCAATGGAGGCAGTCAAGGACTGTGACATCAAGGGCGGATCCATTCATTCAATTCTCTATCCAACGATGCCAAAATGAATTCTGTGGCTCGAATGGTTCTTGAGAAACTTCGAAAAAAGCAGCGTCGTGTTCAAGTGGATTTTGCAACTAAAAAAAAACCACGCAAATCTAAAACTTCTTGAATTCAAGCCTTTTTTGAGAAAAGTGCCCACATTTCCCCATCCATGGTTCACTTTCTAAAAAGGCCATTTATTTCTGTCTAGAATGATGTACAAATGAGCGTTCTTGCTCATTTTGCCTCCGAGAAATGAGCACAAACGGGAAGGAAAACATGAAATTTCGGCATAATCTTGCACCGAAGTGTCTGATATGCAATTTTCTGCGTCAAAACTACTCGAATTTCCTCACTCACGTTGTTACGACTGAATCCACTTCAATTCTCTATCCAACGATGCCAAAACAAATTATGTGGCTCGAATGGCTCTTGAGAAACTTCGAAAAAAGCAGCGTCATGTTCAAGTGGATTTTGCAACTCAAAAAAAAAACCACGCAAACTTAAAACTTCTTGAATTCAAGTCTTTTTTGAGAAAACTGCCAACATTTCCCCATCCATGGTTCATTTTCAAAAAAGACCATTTACTTCTCTCTAGAATGACGTACAAATGCGCGTTCTTGCTCATTTTGCTTCCGAGAAACATGCAAAACGGGACGGAAAACATGAAATTTTGCAATAATCTTGCGCCACCCTTGCACAAAACGAC